GTACTGTATTAAGTACCATTCCATGTCTATGCCAGACTTCTGAAAGGCAACCTCTACCCTTACACTGAAGAACCAAATTAGCCAATGACATGGACATTGTTTTTTTCTTACTAGCCTTAAAAGTGTTTACTATCTTAATGTGAGTATTGCTGCCAGATCAGAGTTGGCACTGCCTTGGTGACCCTAATACCAGAGCTGAAAGTTGCACCTCTGGCAGCAGCTGCACTAGGTTCCTACCTAACACAGTCCAAAGCCCAGAGCTCAAACTGAGTGAGGAGAATGATTAAATAAACTGCAAGATTACTTATTTTTCTTTTTTTTTAAAAAAAAAAGAAACAAAAAAATCTTCCTTTTCCTCTCAGGGAGCACTAAAGAGAAGGGACAGAGGTCCTTCCTCTACACTTGCAAAGTGAAGGGAAAGTTGGTCTTTCTAGGAAATACCTCTTCATTTTTGCCCCTAGTGTGGCATCCCTCTCGATGGCAAAGTTTAGCTTATCAGTAAGGTTAGTTAGCTCCCAGCCTAAAGCATGATTGTGCAAAGCTACTATTTTAAAAATATGGCCTAAGGTTACATGTGGATAATACCAGAAAGTGTCAATCCAGCGAAGTGCTGCAGCATGCGCTGCCAGATAAATAAATCTCCCTTTTTTGAATCCATCAAACTTACTGGCCTCAGCACTATCTCCTGGCAGCGAATTCCACAGGTTAATTATATGCTGCATAAACAGTATTTTCTGGTTTATATTATTGCTTTAAAAATGTCTGGTTCATCTCACTAACGTTATTGAAAAAGGTAATATTCTGTCTTCCTTTCCTTCTAATTTGATCTCTTCTCTTCTCTCATTAAACTTCACAAACCAAAAGACATACTTTTGCCAATCCTTCTTCATACAACAGTTCTAACACATATCTTCATGTCTTGCTCTGAGACTCTGCATTTGTTACAATTTTATAAAATGAAATGACTACAACTAAGATCTGAGGACAGGAGTGTTCAGGTGGGGGCATGTCTGGCCTCAGATCTAGCTGTCCTTTGTATGTGTGGAATACACCATCACTACACCAAGTCTTCAGTCACCCTGTTGTACCTCTACCTGCACTCTGGACTAATGCTCCATGCTGTCAGGCCACTGTGTGTGGTCAGAAGTCTGACGTCCCTCAGATCCCTACAGCTCCAGAGAAGATCCTACTCCGTGTGGGGATCACACAGCAGTGAAGGAAACAAAGGAATTTTTTGAAAAGATTCTGGTACACTGTCCACCTGTAAAGAACTGGGGAGTCCTCTGTCAGGCTCATTAAAAGGTGAAACATCAGCATCTAATTTGAAAGAAGCAATCAGTGATATCAGCCTTTACGTTGCTCAGCCACAGCTTTCCAGCTGCCAGTCCTTTGTGGACTTCCCTACCACCAGATGATCTAACTGGGTGAAACATTACAGAGCTTGCAACTTATTTAGTTCCTACATAGACGAAGGCTTTTTCTTTGAACAAACATACATCCTTTTCCCAGAACATTAGTCAGTCTACAAAAATAATCTGCTTGCTAGTTTGCAAAGTATCTGGTATCCCTAAATTACCTGGAAACTTCTGAGATGCCTAGCCACGAGGAGCAGGAGCCCACTATACTTAATTCTAAGGATGACTGGATTAAGATATTCATAAGTAAATCTGAAGTAGCTTTGCATCTGATAAGATCCATATCTAGCCACTGAGAGTGTAGTGGCCATTGGTAACACTTTTCTGGATTATATATCATCCACTTGACACAGAAATGTCAATCTTGTTAGATTTCAAGGTCAATAGTCTTCAAGGATGTAGCTAGGAGAGTAGGTTTGTCACCCCCTTGCAAACTGGAGAAACACAAAACCTACCTCAGTGACAGTGCTATCAACTTGCATTACTAAATACTGACTCATGAGTAAAGGATGATCAGATTTAATGTTTTTTGCTTCTCTGAGGAGTCAGGAAAAGTCACATAACCATGCCAATGGTTAGTATCTTTGAAAATGCATTATTTCAGAAATGCTAATACATAAAAGGAGCCAATAAGCACTTACAATAAATGAAAACAAATAAACAATAAATAAGCATGCATGTTTACTTACAAAGACATCCATGTTACATAAATCAGCACTACACCTCTTATAAATCTAATATATAATTAATAAGCCTGTCTGGTCAGCTATTTGAAGTGTGGGATTATAAAAGAAATACAGCTCATGTTTTGATCCTATTGGAGCTCACTACATGAAAAATATTTCCAATTCTTGTTTCTACCTTTTTAATTCAAGGTATACTACATTTTCCCCATGCTTTTTTTTTCTTAAATTGTCTTATGTCTTTCATTGTGGAATGCCTCCTGCTACTTTTCAGGGTAGGAGACAGTATTTTTTACTTGCTACCAAACTGACATAGATTGTGACTCCTCCCCAAGTAACTATTAATATTTTTAAAGGTCAAGAAAAATAAAGCTGATTTGTACTCTGAAACAGACCCCTAGAAAAAAGATACAATAAATATAATTAAATATTAGTTTTGTTACATTTAATTAGAGTAAGGTAGCCAACACTGACTCAGAAGCCCAAAGGAGTACTCCAGTCATGGTTCTCCAGACTTCTTACAGCTCTTCATTTATTTTGCCCATCGTATCACTGGAGGAGGAAAAGGCATGGTAGATGACCTGAGACGGGAGCAGTGAGGATCAGGCCAGGGGGTCTGTGGACATTTTTCCACCCAACAAAACTCAGCAGGCACCCTTTCCTCCCCAGCTGGCTCTTAACACAGCGATTTCAGCACCCACTACTGCAAGACTCTACTGATCATAGAGACAGACCAGTAAGGTGATGTGGCAGGTCTCAACTCCACAGGTCTCACAGTGCTTATCAACACACGTGAGGCTGCACAGGACTCCTGTCTCATGGGGGTGTGGAGGTCCAAGTGGTGGTGAGAGGTTTCTGAGGAAGGCAGGGGGCTGGAGGGATTCTGCAACTGCCCCTGTGGTGTCTTGAAAACAGGTGCATGAACCTCCTGGGACACGGAAAAGACTTGGAAAGTAAGGAGTATGGACTTGTGGAGGAGTGCCAGAGAAAAGAGGAGCATGGGAAGGCCAGAGCACGGGGAAAGAGAGGTCATGGCATGGGGACAGGAATCCAAGTAGCAGAAGTGTCAGGATGCAAGAGCCTGGCTCTGCATTCCATTGAGCTCTTGAGGTCAGCAGGTTTGGCCACCCTAGAGCTGGAGTCTCATGTACAATCCAATTAGCCAAGATAACATTGTTTTGACTAACTCTGTGCCCTACTATCTCATAATAAATGAAGGGCCTGCCTACTGTGTTATGCTGAGCAGTGTGAAAGCATGAGCCTGAAGTATTCTCAGGAAGTGAGTCTCTAACAAAACAAAACCAATCACGTAACAAGGATGCTAATTCTCTTCCAGACATCATTCTGTTTCTGTTACTCTTCAGAAAAACTACTCCAAGAGGTAGCTATTCAGAGTCTTACTCATCTTCCTGCTTTCTTCCTGATTATTCAGATGTTCAAATTCCTGTAAGCTGCATATTGCCACAGTGTCTGCAGCATCACTCGTACATGGATAAGATCAGGTTTGTCTGGGTTGAGAGAAGCAGAGACAACGCGCTTATCACGTAAGTGCTGGAATCGCTACCAAGCAAAGTCTCAATGTGGAGGTGGATTTTACAGGACTAGGAATGAGGACATTTCAGTGAAAATGATGAGTGGATAATGGAAGTGAAGTTGCTTTCAGTGTCCAGTGTCATGTTGTCAAAGCAACTGAGAATGGCTCAATGGCATTAAAAGTGGATTGTGACGGTACGTGTAAACGCAGGTTACCCAGTGGGACTCTTGCAGCACTTGCATCAGGATTGATCCAAAATGACAGCCAGGACAGAACAACAATTAGCAGTGTAGGAGCATAAACACCCATCATGTAAAATCCAACTTGTCTTCTTAAAGTGAAGATTACTTCTACACAAGTGTAATAACCTTTAAAGAAATAAATGCATGAATGTTTAATGTGCTTTGCAGGTCAACCTCTTCAGATCCATATCTTTTAGGCCTCTTCTATTTAAGTTAAGAGCAAAAGTTCAATGGTTTGATTTTCTTTATAAAGGCAGAGAGTTCAATTTGAAAATAAAAAATGTTCAAAACACAGAACTATATAATCACCAAGTGTGGTCAGGCATGTGGTACTCTGTGCTCTACAAGGCACCCTCCATCTTTTCACAGTGCATCAGTAACAGGCAGCTAAAGTGACTCTAATCCTGATGGCTTCAAGATGCAGCGTGGATAAAACCATTGGGATCCAGCAGCCATACTAGCTTAAGCTTATCTGAAAATCCTCCTTAGCATTAATTTGTGCAAAAGATGGAATAAAGAAATATTAGTATAGAAAGTTTAGAATGGAAAGAGGTGATCTGAATGTGACTCTAAGCAGAGATTCTCCCAGTACTGAAAGCTGGTACAGGTGACTTGTAAAATTGGTACAGACTTTTAAAAAGACTCTAAAAAAACTGTAAATTTTGAAAACAAGGAATACTGAAATCTTTTAAAATGAGAATCTAAATCACCCAAATATTTAAGACATCTGTTAAGATAAATTCAATAAAAAACAAAGCTGCAGATACTGGAGGTTTTGCTGGAGATAACAGATGGAACAGAAAGTCCGATAACCAGAAAAAATTTCTGTTCGTATTTTCACTCAATTAGCACAACCGACATTTTTATGTTAATATTAACACACTAGCATTGCAAAAACAACTTCATAAACTATTCTATCACAAGGAAAAGGTAATCTTATATTAACAGCAGTTTCGAAATTCAGATCAGTTTATATCTATAAAGTTGGTGCAAAGTTGATTTAGAAGATAGAATCTGTCAAATATATATGTATCTATCTTCTATATTTTATCAGTTAAGTGCCATAGAATGATGTCATCTTAAAAGTGCTGTTTGGACATACAATAACCAAAACAACAAAACAATAAAACATTAAGGAAAAATTTCCATGTTTAGAAGACACTACATGGTATTTCATAGTTCATTCTACTCTCTTCAATGATCTGTTGTCTGACAAACTTCCCCTCTATAATTTCTGAGTAGTTTCCAGATACTTTAAGGTTTTATTTTCAAATGAGAGATGACCTTCAAAATCATTATTTGTTTGCTTTATGCTAGAAATGCAGTTTGTATGGCTTGGTATCATCTTTCATCAGGCAGAGAACAGTATCTATTGCCCTCACCATTCAGCTTGCAAAGAACTATTTGGATCTGTCATACATTTTGATAAACAAAGAAGAGGCAATTTGCAAATTTAAATATGGAATTTATTGCCACAAAAATCACCTCAAGTTTCTTGAGTCTATTTCTACTTAGGCGGGTATGATAAAACATCAGTTGATGTAAATAGGCAGTAAAGATTGTTACTTGCAATTGGCAAGAATCTCCTACATAAGCTGTAATTTCAAAAATTTGCTTCTACATGCAACACTGCCTCCTGATTACCTGACAAAATCCTTAACTGAATACATTTTAACTATGTGTGCAAACTCTGCTTTTTAAAATACCTTCAATATAAGAATGTAAAAGAAATCAAACCACCACTGATTACTGAAAACAACCTTTAAAACACTTCAGAGTACTAAAATGCTCCATCCGCATTAGTGAAGTACTAATTCCAGTCTTGATTATGAGATTAACATGGATGTTCTTAATTATCAAACAAAAAGGATTTGCAATAAAAGAATTATGAAAACTTTTTAAAAATTTCATGTTGTCACTCCACCTGCTCTGACAGTTCTCTAATGTTTGTTCTTTAATGTGACACACAAAATGTGACCATTTTACTGAGCACTTTGCACAGTGTCATTTCAACTTGTGGTCACAAGGTGCTGAAACTTGGGAGAACACTACCGACTTTCTTTCCTATTTAATGGTAAAGTGTACATAAGGTTCCTAAAAATATCTAAAATATCTAAAAATTTTTAAGATGTTTAATTTAAGATTTAGGACAAAACTCAAAATGATCATGATAACTTCAGTGACAAGATGGCAATCTTGAGTAAGTGTTTTCTTTTTCCCTCAAACAGAATGCAAGTCTTCCAATTTTCAGATTTGTATTAATTTCATTTGGGAATTGCAAGAGCCATCCCTTTACTTTTTCACTATTTTATAGCCTATTTTTTTTGTAAATTCATTGTTTAATTAAGAATAATTTTTTTTTCACTTCTAAGTAAACTTCTACATTATCCAGACTTAGATTTGAATGCAATCACTGCTAGTTGGTTGTGCTTTCACAAACGCAGAATTTTCCTGAAGGGAGCTAACATGATATTATTTACAAATGGTAAATCACATGAGATACTGAAATATGGAGTCTGGCTAAGAGCTCACTCATTTTGCAGTTAAAGAATAAATCTCCTTTCAATTTTCATTACCTTTTTCAAGTTAAATTCCTTAACTCTGAGATCTACTAAGGTTACTTGATATCTTTTCAGACTTGGGATCTAGCTTGGAACCATCTGAAAGTAACAGACCCCTGACTTCAGCTGAATATTCAACAAGAAACTTTCAGAGGATCTTCAGAAGCTGCAGCGCCACAGCCATCCTCATTGCATTTTGATGGGAAATTTATTCATGTGAGGCAAGAGCACTGACTACAATACACCCTGCTGACTTCTGCTGTTGTAGAAAGTCTTGCAGTTACCACAGTATGTGAGTAGTTTGGATATAATTATAGGCAGGAATCAATCAAGGTAAAAAAGATAAATCGTTAGAAGCCAGAGTACAGAAACCATTGGATAAATCTATGCCCACACTCAGAAAATAATCATAGGACTGAATGAATACAGGGCTGAGGACTGTAAGCAGCTTTCTGTAATGACAGACTTTTCAGAACAGTTAGAGAAAGGACGAACCTGCAGAGTGAAGCATTTGAAGTTACACTCTAATACTATCCACTTCTGGAATAAAAGTCAAACCAGAAAATTTATTGTGCAACTGGTATAATTGTACGTTAACATCCTATCAGAAAGGATAGGCATTTATATGCATATAAAGTATTACAACTAGAGAAACAAAATGGTGATAGTAAGATCAGAAGACATGTAAGCAAAACCAAGAAAAACATTTAATCTCATCTTCGGCCTAGATGTTTCTACATTTGAATTAGTTTTCAGTAATTATATGTGATAGTTGCTATTATATGAACCACTGGTTTATTAAAAGTAATCCATTTTCTCCTATAGAATGTAAGACATGAAGTGGAGTATTAATTAATAATCTTAAAGAGTACTTGAAGGAAGCTTGAAGTTTTTTACCAAGAAAACAACTTATATAACCTACCTGTGCCTTTATAATACTTGGTACAGTTACCATATTCAATATCCTCCTTTTTAATATCAAACTGAGGCAGGGCAATTTTCTCTAGCTGTACAGGATCTCCAGACTGCCAGATAAATCGTAAGTCATCAGTTGTGTAACCAACTACAAGAAGAAAATAATAATAATAATTTAAAGAACTATCTTTACTATCGGAGTAAACACTGCAAGAAAATCCAGCATACATGTACCATTTTTCTTTCTATTTCCTGTTCAAAGAATTAAATACAAAAATGAAATAATCCACAACCGAATTTTGACATAGGCCTAAATTAGGACTTGGTGGGTGGAACATTATAATATCAGCAATATTACATTGATTAAAAGGTGTTTGTTAAAGTGCTTTCTGTTTAAACAAAGAAAGCAAAGCTCTATTTCCCACAGCTGTGAAGCTTCCATATTCATTCATACTCTATTTCAGCAAAACATGAAAAATATACTGACCCTTAACAGCACTCACGAGTCCTAGTAACTTCAAAAGAACTTAACAATTCAATTACTGCGATGAATTTTGGCTTTTGTGTAAAACAACTGTTCTTCTTAGCTGTTCAGATTAAAGGCCCTGATTCATGAAAGCACTGACATTCAGGAAATACTTGACCAGGAAGTAGATGTGCAGTCCTACTGAAATCAAATCAGTGCCTTCGTGATCTCCTGAGTACAGACAGACTTCAGTATACACCTGAGTGTCTAAATCATGATATACACACCACCACCAAGTGAGAGGCAGTGAAAGTTAGGCTCACAATATTCAATCATAAAGCAATATTAATTAAATATGCAGTCATAATAATGAAATTACATGCCATTTTTCTGGTACCTTCTGTTTATTATTAACTTAATTCAAACAGAAATAATGTGTGTTAAATGGGAACAGAGATGGGAAAGCATAAAAAAGATGGAGTTAGAATGCAGCGTTTTACAATTCAAAGCCTCTGAAAAATGTTTAAAGAACTGTTCTTTTTCTGGAGGCATTAGACAATTTTTTTCTTATCTTTGAAAAACAGCTATGATTAAAAAAGGTAAACTGTTCATAAGCTAACTTCTCTAAGATTCACAACTTCATAAAAATCACAATGTCTCAAAGCTCCATGATGGAATATAATATAAAAAAAACATTAGTTGCTCTAGTGCCTCATTCATAAAATCAGTCTCATCCCCTTACAACATACAGCAAATCGCAAAATTGCCCAGATCCTTTATAGTAACAATTACTGGACAGTGAAAATTTTGTCTATAGGGAATGTGTAGAACTGGGGATCATAACTGCAGATATGAGAACAGCTTAGTAAAAACTGGTGTCCGTTTTTGTTTTGGAAATTTGTAGCTAGAAACAAAATATTGATTTGAAAATAACTGAAGTAGAATAAAACTGCCAACGGCTATCAGGGCAAGCAAGCCCACTGCTGGAACTGGAGCGACAGACTGGACGTCATAGGTACCATTCTTACTTTTGACAACTGAATTAAAAGGCAAAAGAAAGCTTAGTGCTGTCGTGGTTTAACCCAGCTGGCAACCAAACACTGTCCTTCCAAGGGAGCAATTTCCTCTTGAATTTGAATAGATCAACTTACCATGGAGAGAGACAATTAAGGTTGTTCAAATAAAGTTATCGAGGATATTTTTATGAGTAGTTCTTTCTTGAGTAACTATACCTTGCAATATGTGTAAAGCAACCCAGACTGAGAAAGCTTGAGCAAACTTCCATCAATATTCCTGTCTAATTCCAGCTTAAACCCAAACTGATTTGGGTTTACCATAAGAGTTTACTTTGGCTAATGTGTATATATATATTAGTGATGGGCAAAACTACCATGGGCATGCTAGAATTCTGAAAGTAAATGCCAGCAATCAAAAATGAAATTGTAAAGCTCTGATACCGTTATTGTTATTAATTACCCTTGTCTGCACTGGGATGTCTTGCTCATCTTTGATTAACTTTGCTCTTCCTTTGCTTTTGTCTTCCCTTCCCTAACCCTACCTTCCCAGACCTGTTGGAGTAACAACTGAAAAATTTTTGTATTATAGCAGAAATGGGCTGGAGCAAGCCGCCTTCCTTCTCTTTGCTTCACATTTGTCCTTATTCAGAAAATGCCACCAAAGTGGAATCACCAAGGGCTGGAGTACGGGAAAAAGGCTGTACTGGAGCAGACACCTTTGTACTTGGGGAACAGGAATGAAGATGGGTTTCAGAAACAGTCTGGCTGTAACTTCCAGCATGGCATGAAGCCCTTCAGAGATGAGACCTGACTGCCCCTTCATAAGAGCATATCACCTAGAAACCAGGCAAGGATTGGTAAGGGAGAGAGAGATGCCTGACTACATCCACAACACATGTTGAAACCGCTTTCAAAAGGTTTCATACTAAATGTTCTCAGTGTATTGTCATCAAATACTTTTCCTTTGGTACTGTACCAAAAGAGATTCAAACAATACCAGGCATCATCAATGCAAGGGCATAAATTGTACCCCAACAACCTGCAAAGCAGCAGAGATTGTAGAAGTTAAACCTACCTGGGGAAAACATGCATTCTTTTTTTCCAAATTATATGTGTTTCCATTTTACTAAGTTTATTGTTTTTATAAAACTCATCAGTTGTCATTATGTTTGATAGCAAAAGCTAAAAACAGAGTGTACGGTGCCATAATCGTAAGAAACATTTTTGATAGGGAAATGTATGTCAGTAGGAACCAGTGACTATTAATTTCAAGATTCATTAAAAATACTGACATGAACAATACAGAATTGATAATTTTTTGTTTGATTCTCAGGCATGCCTAGAAGGCAACTGTTTTCATGCACAGACTGATTTACATACAGCTTTCCAATTGCATCTTGCAGCGCTGTGTATCCATAGGAAACAGGGTCAAGTCCAAAGGGCAAGACAGAGTAATAGACAATCTGAAAACACAGAAAAGGAATTTAAAAACAGTGTGAGCTGCCATGTAAGCAGTAGACTGCAATACGAAAAAAAACCCCATAGGTATTTGATTTTCGGCTTCTAAAGTAGCAGAAATAATTAAAGTTATAATAAGCAGCAGTTTGAAATTGAGCCATCTCTAGCAGTCCTAGCATAAAGTTTTACAGAGAATTTCAAACATATAGTAGTTCACAAATTAGAAACCTACGTGACAAAATACATATAGGTCTTAAGAATAACCAAACAAAAGTTTCATATAGATCAGAGTCCTGCCTCCAGCACTGGTCAATGGCAGACTCCCAAGGAAGAACATGAAACTACAGCAATCAGGAAACACTAATTTGCCAGATAACCAGCAGTGTCCCAAAAGTTGCACCTGAAGGATTTCCTAAACCAGAAGCAATGCTTCAGTATTCAAGGGAACTCGATGGATTTTTTTCCCCTCCAGGAAGCTGCTTTGCTTCCACTTGCTTTCTGGAATCCATGTAAACCTTAATCATGCACAGGATCCTGCAGCAAGGAATGCTATAGCTACAGCTGCACACACTCTAATCATCTCCTTTTATCTATCTTGAGCCTGTCTCATAGTCATTTTACTGGAAAAGAAGGTGAAAAACCAATGCCCATCCATTGTCTCTGTGCCATTCATGATTTAGAGACCGCTATGCCACCACCTCAATTATCTTGTTTTTCCCAGTGTGAAAAGTTCTGCCTTGCTTAGCTGTTCTTTATAAAGGATGCTGTGCGTACCATTGACCATCCTTGCCTCCCTTCTTGCAGTGGGAAAACCAGAACTGCATCTTGTATTCAAACTGCAAGGACAGCATGAATTTATACAGCGGCATGGCGTTCACTTTAATCCCTAATACTTCCTAGAATTCAATTCACTTTCTCAACCAGTACTGAGCCGTCAGGCAACATTTTCAGAGAACTAGCCATTATTGCTCAAAGGCCATTTTCCTAGCAGGCAATAACCATCGCAAAACCAATCAGCTTTTCTGTAAAGTAATTTTCAGTTATTTACATTGAATTTCATCTCATACTTTGTTGCCTGGACATTAGATTAATTTGTAATTCTTGCTGTTGTCTCCTATCTTTACTATCCTGAATATTTTGGCATCATGAAAGTGCCTGCCAATTCAGAGTTTTCCAGATGATTTACATTGAACAGCACAGGAAGCAGAAGAGATTTTTCTGTGGGTCTCTACTGCTTACTTCCCCCCATGTGAGCACGAACTGTTTATTCCTACATTCATTTTCCTAATTCTTAACTATTTACACAGACAAGAACTTTCTCTCACATGCATTTTGTCATTCATGTACTTTGATAACTGGAGATTCTTTCATTAATATTTGATAATATCTGTGTAAACTAAAAATCTAAGGCATGGAAATTATATATTTTAAAAAATGAAAACCTTAGTAGCATGTCACCAAACCACAGTGCCTCAAAAAATTAATCTTACCTGCATACATATCATACTGTATTATTAAAATCAACAGAATATTTTTAGAGGACGACATCAATTTTAAACTTTATTGAATTTGGGTTTGTTATTTGTAAGTTTTCAGAGAACTTTTCCACTGAAACACTTTTATTAATATCCACTCAATATTCACTAACCTAACTATTAACTGAAGTAAGCTCATAATTTCAGAAGTGATTCCCTCTTGACAGTAAAGTTGCAGTATATTTGGGTATCCTTTTTTTCCTCTATCAGGGTGATATGTTCCAGTTCACACCAGAAGACAATTCACTCACTGTTAGGAAATTGAGCCTAATCTATACAAATCATTGTGTCTATAAACTCTCCAGATCTATAATTCAGTACAAGATCCTTTTTAATCAATCAATCTGTTATTTTCAGTGGATGACTTTTTATGACATGATCTATACTTTTGATAAATCAAGTCAAGCCACAAAAAAATATGTGTTAATTGCAATGAAATTAAACAATATTTTGGGGTCTTCTGAAAAAAATTATATCCAGTAAGGCATAGAAATTAATCAATATTATATCCCAGTACTTTTACAAAACATTTACATTCGCAAATTTTGTAATTTCTGCCTTTCCCTATATCATTAGTAAGAAGTAATCATCATTTTCTTTAGTTGATGTAGAAATTCAAGTGGTGTGCAAATTATATTGTATTGCTGAAGGCTTTACTCCAGATATCTTATCCATTTCATTATGCTTCCAGGAATCCAAGCAATTATCAAAAGAGCTTGAATTTTGTTTCCAATAATACTAGTTTACTTAATGTGTTAACTTAACATGACATACAAACATACATACACTTAAAATTTCTAGTACTTGCTGTGCTATCAACTGACATGCTTTAAAACATTCTAATCTGATTTCTTTACACTCATTCAATTTATTGTAGTATTGTTTACAAACTGCCATATAAATTTAAATACTAGTCCCAAACTGTATTGAGTTACTAAGTGTAACACAGCATACATATGTCATATTAAGTAATTTAAAAAAAAGAGTAGAAATGCATCAACAAAATACCTCATGCTGACCAGGACATCACCATCCCGAAATATGAAAAGAAGGATATTTTCTTGTGTGACATCATGGAAGTTAGCATTTTTTTCATTCGCAAAGAATAAGTCTGGCTTCCAAAGACATTTAAACATTGTTGGGTCCACTGTCAGCGTATCGGAACCTCTCCAGTCATTGGGCAGTTTGAGTCTGGGGTCATTCCACTTCTGTCTTAGAAAGATGTTGACTCTATAATCCTGATGGAAGAATACATAAACATTAGATGAGCCAAAAGACTAGCCAAAAGCCCACAGAGAAAGAAAACCGCTCCATCAGACTGAAGAGAAAAGCAATTTATGCCCTGATTTTTCTATCACAAAGATCGTAATCACCATTCAAAGGACATTGATAAGTATTAAGTTTACCACAAATTGGTAGATGATGTCTCACTGTTTCGAATGCAGTAACTTTTTTTTTCAAAGGGCAAAATTCTTCCCCCAGGATCATTTTTCTGTCTCCTTGATAGCAATCCTCTGTTACCGAGGCATAGAGAAAAGCATGCAGCAGGACACAGGGAGGCCATAGCTTGACTACACTAAATTGCTGCAGGCAGCAGACACGACATCACTTCTATCAGGATATCCTGTGAGTGTAAATTCCAGCTTGTTCTCCATTTGGTTAAGCGGCACACTGATGGCAAAAAATATCACACTATACAAGCAGAAAACAGACCAGGTAGATAACAGATTTTACACTGCACATCCAAAATACAGCCTCAGACCTTTTAACAGATTTGAGACTATTTTGGTATGTGAGGAAAACTGATGCCAGCTTGTAACACCAGTACTGAGGTAGCATATATGAAAGTAGAAATAGAGTCGGTCTCAAAGAGAGAAAATCAAGACTTTACACAGAGAAACTTCCCTCTGAATTCAGAAGGACTCTTACTCAAGGATGAACAGTAGTAGAGCCGTGCTCAATGAGAACCTGATTTTGCCTTTGGGAGTTGGAGTAGCATGTGTCTTAGGGCAAAACGATACCCGCACGCGCTCTCTCCTCAGTGAAAGCCGTGTGCATCCAAAGGAAAAATCTGACCTAGTATGTCAGTTATGATTTTTCAGTCTTACCTCTAAGTCTTTTTGCTTTTTACATTTACATTTAAGCCAGTGCCTCTTTTTCATGTATACGTAAACTAGGCAGATCACATACAGAAAAAGAATAAAGGTACTTTTGAAATAAAGTAAAAAGAAAAAAACAAAATAAACCAAAAGTCTATGCGTAAGATAACTTCTATCTCCACTCTTCCTAGTTGTCTTCTATATTTTCTATTTTCATAATTGTTTATTAGGTACAAAGGGTTCTGAGAGAAGGCCTGTGTCTTTTAGAGCAGTGAAAACACTGCTACTGTTTTACAATTATAGCAAAATGCTAGGTATCCGTGAATGAAGGTTCTCAACATATTTTTGGTTTGTCAATGTATTCTACATAACAAACCAATTTTATCAAGTTGTTTATTTTACACACTAATGCCCTTCTACAGATTCTTCTGTTGCTACAATGTGAGTTCTCTTCTGTTGTACTTACTACAATGTATACATTTACAATCCAAAGCAAGTGCTGTTTTGAGAGGGTCATTCTAATTCCAACAGGAAGGAGTTCATTTGGCTAAGACCTCATGCAGAATAATTTACCCTGTTGATTTACCCTGTTAATTGGAATATGGTGCTCAATTTCCCATGTCTAGTCCACCAGTCAGATCAGCCCAGTATTTTTTTTATTACATTATACTGTGTAATGCTTTTCCTTACTGCATTGTAAGGAAAAGCAAAGCATCAAAACTAAGTAGAAAGAACTGAGGAAATATTTATTAATATGCGTAGTTCTGAGAGTTACTTGTTTGCAGTCCATTTTTGAAAAAAAATATATGTAGTCTGACTCTTATTTATACAAAGACCTATATTATCTTGTCAAAGTAAAGAAGTATAAAATAATAGTTGATATGAAGTGACTTTGTACTGGAAGGCTCTCACAGAGAAGCTTCAAAATAGGAGGGAATTCAGGTCATGATCTCAGACAGCATCTTTTCAATTATAGGTATATAATTGAAAATTTACTTCACTTACTTCTTGCTCAAGTTCCCATTCCATATGCACTTCTTGTCTCAGTGAAAACAATTAATTTAAACCATATGAGATAAATACTGCATACCGTGCATGCTCACAAGCATTGCACTATTCATTACACCAAAATTAAATTCCCCATAAACAAGTGCATCACTCTAATTCTAACAAAATAAAATGCCTTCTCAAAGCCATAGGCAAATGATAAGCAGTGTCCAATGCTTGCCTTCAGCTTACCCATTCAGAAGAAGGAGATGTTTACATCACTGAAAAGCAGAATGCACTGCCAAAATAAGAATTGGAAGTAAGATGAGGTGGATGCTATTTTATTTCCTTCCTTTCTCTATTACAAATGAACTTAAATATACCAACCAACGTGATGTTGTGACATTTTAAGAACTTAGTTCTGTTCCCATTGAAGTCATTGGAAGAAAAATCTCATTAACCTAAAGCACGCAGGTTCAGACCTACCTAAATGGCTAGAAACTTGTGACGGTGTACTTGCAGAGGCAGGTCACCAACATAATTGAGAGAATACAGAAAATGTAGAGGGAAGCAAAGAGATGTCAGGGTACAGAACTGTGGCTAGCCAGACAATGATGTGCAGAAGGGCTTCTTTTTAGAAGATTAAGAACTATTACCAAATCTGGTAGCAGTATACGCTATGATCTGGTATAAATCTCTTTTAAAAGAAGTCTGCAACCAGTCCTCTCAAATTTGGGCAATGAATTTTAAGATTCAGTATGTGCAATACAATCAGGCTCAATAAGGGCTCAAGAAGTGGTCTGCATGAAGCACACAGTCTTCCTCCTATACATTCTTTGAATATTGCAGAATTAACGGCATTTTATAATAAAGGAGAGTCAAATAGTAATTAAAAAGCCTGAAACTAGGGGAGGTGGAAGAGATATTCATCAGCATTAGAGCTAGGAGGACCTGGTAGGTAAAAAGAATTACAGAAGTATTCTACAGTGCTTTGTTTTCCCATGAAACTCCCAACAGAAGGCAAGATGTTTTCAGGGAGGTTGAAAGGACAGGCATTCTAGGAAATATTTCAGATGTAACCTACTAAGCAGTGGGCATGTGGCCAGAAAAACTCCTCAGGCCAGAAACCAGGCATAGCCAATACATCTCCTTCTGCAAACTGGAGCACATAGAAGATCGTGAAAGGCTTTTTCCAGATGAACTGCACTCATACAAAGAAAGGAAGCGTGATAGTACTGTCGGTTAATAAAATAGGAAATGGCATTTTTAAGATTAAAACAAGGAAACCAAATTTTCCTTTATATACATAAATATTAAAATGACCTTTCTGCAAGGTTTTAAAGTAAGGGAGAAGGAGAAAGTGCTATTTTGTCACTTGAGTCAGTGAAGAAAGGTTATACTGCAAGTACGAACCTTGAATATAGATTGCGTAGACAGAGAGTCAGATCATCAGCACAGCTAAAACATTATGACCCTACAGGTATTTATACCAGAAAGGATCTATCCCTAGAAATCCTTGACTGGTCATTCATACTATAACATTTTCTGAATGTGACATAATCACCATATTATCCCACTAATCTGCAGTCTGAGAAGAATCTGCAAAATCAGAGGCAAAGTTAGCAGGGGGATCCTCAACACATAATCTAATGAGCTAGAAGGAAACAAGTTACAGGATTCAAGACAAAGGGAGCTTACTGGAAGGCAGCAGCTCTGATAACAGCTCTTCATCATTTTAGCTGTACAAATTCTTATTCACTCTGTAGTTAGCTAATTTCTTGTTTAATTTTTTCCAGGTAACTTGTTTGATACATGTGTGAAAACATTGTAATTCTCTTGAGTAGTCAACGACATAACATGAACACTATCCTTTCTAGACACAGAGCAAACATTTGCCCTTTGGTTTCTTCACAAGGGCTTGATTAACGCAATACAGGCTTCTGGGCATAGGATCCACACTATGGGTCCTATCTTGCTACAAACCAGTGTTACGTTAAACCTGTCAATGCTCTTCTATAAAGAAATCCCCTTCTCTCTCAAAACTAGGTAGACTCTACCTCAGTGGGAGGTAATCTACTCTTTTTTGCTGAGGATGAGCCAACAGCATAGCTAAGAATGCAATTGCCATGGGACTGGAAGGACGGCCAGCAAAAAAAAACTGAAAATAATTTTATGGAATACCTGAAATATGTGAGGAATCATCAGAACCAGCTACCATGATGTGAAGGCGAGGGACACTGTGGGAGCCTGTTGACTAGTTAGAAGTTCCAGGCATTAAGCTCACAGTTGGCTATTTCAGAGAGGGGTCTAAAGTGGGATATAGGACATCTTGTTGAAGATATTTCCTTCTGCATCTCTTTTAACATCCTTTTGAACAAAAGGAGATCAGCATTCCGAATGGCCTTTTCTCACTGGCACCTACACATTTGTTTGTTGAGCCTTCTACCGTCACCTCACTTCCTATCACCTGGCACCCATGGCTATTTTTCCTCACTCTTCCATCACCAAAAAGAAGGAATCGTCCCTGAAGCACGGCTAAAACAGGATGCTTTACCCACACACAGTTTTTGTGAAAACCTATGAATTGAGGTATTACAGCAAGAAGTGGCTACAGAACCAAGAATCATCACAATACTTTATCAACTGAAATACTTAGAAAAACATTATTTCATAGATTTTGGTATCAGTAATGATATCACTTCAATCAGTTTAGTAGCTTCTGGTAACTTTAAAGACAGTCAAGAAATCAATATTCTTCATGATTCATACCAACGCCTGAGCCAGCAGAGATGCAGACAGACACTCTCTTCTCTAACAGTGAGGAAACTTTTGAGCTGTTCTGTTACTGCCCGCAAATGTCTCTTCTTTCTGAGTGCAAGAGGCCCCTCAGGTCCTTCACAGAGTCGGTGCCTCAGCTCCATGAAACATCTTTCCTGTGATTCTGGAGGTACAAGTTTTTTCATAGTCTAAGGGACTTGCTTCTACTGTTTGGTGCATTCCCCAGACCATCTGAAGACAAGTACCAGGCTATCCCCAAGAGAGCAGTGGTTCCTGAATGTCCACAGGACCCAATGCCCACTGCATCAGGAAAAATTTCTCAAGTGATATATGGAAGAACAGATTAAACGTTTCTTTTGTCAGTGCTCCCTATGATACATTAAGGCAACCAAGAAGTAACCCAAACTTCACACAAATATGCTTAGCTATCGTGGTGATCAGGCTGGATGTAGAAATCTAAATAAAAGTATAAATTAAAGTAAGGATGGTGTCCGAAGTTCCGAAATACGGAGGAGAGCATGACTTATCTCACAGAACATCCTAGTAAATTTGTGAGTGACCAGATCAGGAATTCAGAGACAGGCATACATGCATGGCTGTACAGAGCACACTTAATTTTGCGGGAGGAAGCACACCCCTTGCATTCATGTTTTGTTACTATTTGGATCTGAGTGAATTGTAAAAAAGCCTCTGTAAAAGTCACTTTTTAAAGCATGCCATAAATTTCAGAAACTTGAAAGAGCCATCTGGCCTAATATACCTGCCATCTTAGACACTTATCTCACTCCTACTTTCCTGCTCTTCCTCCCTGCCCCTCTTTAAACTTCAGTCCCCTTTTTGTTTTCAGGAAATAAATCTCGAAGCATCTTCAGCATACTTACATTCTTTCCTTTAATATCCCTTCCCACAAATGCTATTAGTTGATTACTATCATTTGCACTCAAATCTAAATCTTTATTCACTCCTAGCAAAAGAAACAGAAGTTTCTGACCAAGCTGTTCAAAAGCTGTTTCAGCCATCACATATGTTTAACTTTGAGCGGCTCTGCAGTCCTACTGAAATGTCATTAGGGTATCGTGTAGCTGGATCTGAATTTTAAGTGGGTACTTAACTTCCACTGATAACACAAGGTGTTTTATTATTTATTAGCCATATTATGGTTTATTGCTTCTGTGCCATTATGAGTAGGAATGCTGCCTTAGCCACAGCATTAGAAAGAGCGGCCTGGTTTTAGGAACGGCCTCAATGCTTTGGATGCAGCAGATCACCAAAGTTATTTCTAAACAGGATGCTCAGGGAGCACCTCAGAACTCCCATGCTGAGTGCATGCCCTGGCAGGGGCTTCCCATGTACTGGCAAGACATGCTCCCCTCTTTTTTACATAAAAGAAAATCTTGATCAGGTCAGAATATCTTCAACAAATGTCATTTCTGCAATATTTTTGATAGTATTTATTGGAAGTGCCATTGCAAAAAAAGATCTTCAAGTCCCAAAATAATTGCAATGGCTTTGCTGAAATGACTTTTTATTTTGAAATTGATACTGTTTCCTATAGAAACAAAAGTCAAAATTGTAATGAGGATTATTTGATGCTGTTACCGACATGTTGAAACCTTCTGACTGAACTGGGAACACATTTTTAGAAACTTCATTCTTCAGTTTCTCTCCCTCACATAGTAAATGAACAGGAGTAACAGTACGGTCATTGATGATCTACTCCTTTACTCCTTCTCCTTCTATTCCTCCACAATTTATTCCTACCCTCAGAACTACAATAAAACAGAGAACCTATATGCTTCAGCCTTATGCATGTATGTTCTTCTCCTGTCGCATACAGTCCTAGTATTTTCTTTAGTAATACACCAACCAACCTACATAGTAACTCTCAGAAAGATTACTTAATTCCCCTGAACTTAATAATTTATGGAAATAAACGTATGTCTTGGATCTTAGAAACCATGGATTTCCTTTCATGTACATCAGATTCTAAAAGCTATGACTATGTGTGGACAACTATAGAGTGAAATAGATTAACAGATTTATGACATAGAGCACATTCAATCTGTCGCTAACCCCATTAACTCAATTCTCAATGTCTGAAATCATAACAATTATTTCTACTTTATAGTTCATAATCCTTAGCCTGAAATTTAATTTAATAAGAAAATCTCCATGTGTGCTATATTAATTCAATTTCAGTCTTACCATAGTTGTTTCTTGAATTGACCCAAAGCTGTTAATGAAGATGTTGACTGCAACATCAACTGGAATTCCTTTAAAAACAAAACAAAAAAGATTTCTAATGAACTGCACAATCCAGTAAAGATAGGATAGCCTCCATTCGAAGTTTCTTTACACTGGTATCACAATGCAAAGTATTTTTTTATAGGGTCATACAAATTTATCTTTTCAAGTTAGTATATATGCAATTTTCAAAAGCTGTGGTTTAATCTACTTCCATTGAAAGCCAATAGAAATGACAAAAACTCTTTCCAATCCAGTGGTAAGAAAACAGAAAAAAAAATAAATCCGTAGTCCAGAGTGCTAAGCTTAAAGCATTTCACAGATCATAAATTTGAATAATTTTTGAATTCCACGATTTTCTGTTATCATGGAATGCACAATCCAGTATTACTTTTGCACACAGTGTAATGGATAGAGGCAATTCACATTTCTAGCAGTGGACACTTTTAACTGTCAAGGTCATAATGATGATCTACCATCCCAAATTACCTGTTCATGATTTATGATGACACATTTACTTATATTGTAAGAGGATACTTCTTTGTGCAAGTCAAGTACATAATCGTAAAGTATGAATACAGGCAGACAAAAATTGTTGCATGCAGCTTTCACAGCTACCTAGCCTCGGAGCAAGAGAAGGCTGCTCCATTTTACAATGGTTACCAGTTTGCCAAGAAAAATTTCCAGAAGCCAGCAGCTGTGAAGATATTAAGATGGATGGGATTTTTTCCTCATTTCCACAGCCAGGATTCCTGTAGTTTAAGACGGATGGTGTGACAGCTGCTACATCTGCCCTCCGTCACCCTGCGGGAACTGATTGGCAGTCATTTAATCTGGTGTTAACAGAGAGTTAGCACGAAGCAGGGAGAAGTGGCCTGATGATTGTGAGAACTAATTATGGTCCACTGGTTTTATTTAGCACCTATATGTTGAGAGTGTCAGTATGTACACTAGATGCATGCATCTGATCTCCTTTACATTGTTACAAGTACTTAATTCAATGGAATTCTCCCTATTTTCAGCAATTACAGAGGCAACAATATATAAAGACTATTTTGACAAAGTTAACAAATAAAAAGTAAAATATGCCTCATCTAATAGTTTGCTTGTCTGCACACAATATTTCAGTGTACATTCAATAACTAAATTCAAACCCGTTCTCTTGGTTCACCAGAAAATCACTAACATAAAATTTAACTTTTTTCAATTAAATCAGTTTGTTGTTTGTTTTTTTTTTTTATTTTAAAAATCGCGTCAGTTAAACATGATGCTTTTGGTACGCAATAAGCATCATACTTTGTTTAGCGCCTCATGCATGTGACAGAGCATCCACCACACCACTAGTAGCCAAGAGTGTACTATCTTTTCCAGATTTGAATAGGAAGTACCATCCAAGAAAATCACTCATGTGTGAGGAACGTTTTAACACGGGCAAACCACTTGTCAGAAAATGTTCTTTTTCTTCCACCTCCCTGAGAGTTAACATTGCATGTCCTCCTTTTTCCTTCCATCTTGATTCCTACTGGACTGCCAGCAGGGTTATCAAAAATATAAAGAAATCTGCAACATGCTTTGTGATTTATCGTGCTGAAGAACAGGTAAAACAGAGGCTGGACATTTATTCTTTGTGACAAGACTCAGTGCTGGATTCTCCAGAGAATAAGAAAAAAGCAGGTCACTTCCTGAGAACTGAGTTTAATACATTTATAAAACCTAGTTAAACAGAACATCTGAAAACGGTCTCTTCAAAAGCATAATAAAGATTATAGATTTCTGAATTTATCATACTATTGATAAGCATGTTAAAAGATCTCTTCATGTACATGTAATTAAATGTAAGTTTTAAAAAGAAAGAACTGACTTATGTAACTGCAGTGTCTGTAATGTAATAAAATTATCTATGTCTTTTTCCACCAGGGAAATAATCTAAGTCCTAGAAAGTGTATCTTACAGCTGTCTGAGTTATTAGAGGTTTTTCAGAAAATATTCCAACCTTTTCCGCATATGTAAGGAAATCACATTTGCCTACATGGAAAATATTCCAACCTTCTCTGCATATGTAAGGAAATCACATTTGCCTACATGGGAGATTGCTAGAACATTTGACTTTATGAGATGTTTTAAAGTCAGAGAATGTGTTTAAATTCATTACCTATTCGAAATCTCGAAGTGTGTAAGCTTGCATGCATGTATTGCTAACATATCTTTAAAGGGTTTTAATAACTGCATGGTTTCCAAACAATGATACTGCTGATCCCAACTTTGATAAAGTCATCTTAAAGGATCTCTATAGAGAATTTTAGTGTTTTAAAATACTGTAAAGTAGAGATACTACTGAAGTATTAACTGAAATGTAGGGATAAAAAGACATTTTAAAAACTTACTCTATAAAATCTAACTCTACTTTTGAAAAAACTTCTATAAAATAGTAATAATAACGATATAATAATAGTTTTAAAGCATCATATACTACTATGATCATGAAATCCTAACATATTACCTTTCAGTTCAAAAGGGTATCTTCTGCAGTTTCCCACTATCTATAGAAATTTCCATTAAAAAAAAACAAAACAACAAAAAAAACGGAAATTTGTGAGTCCTATCTCTACATAAATTTTTTCTGTGTGAAAAGAGCAGAAGTTACGTTCCAAAGATTAAAAAAAAAGACTGAAATATCTGACAAACCTTTGAAATTAGGCCTTATCCTGGGATCATAACTGAGCAATAGCCTATTCAAGATATTGCTGGTAGAATTAACTGGTACTCTTGCAAGGTCTTCGGCTGATTGCTGGCTGTAAAAAAAAAGGTGCATAAGTTACTATTAAGACAGAAACAACTGTGTGCTTAAACCTAAGTAATTTTAAAGTCATGTCATAAATGCCATTTCACGAGCAAAATACTTTTGGTATTTTTAGGTTCCACAGCATACAGTCTTCCTTTCTTTGTGGTGGTCCAGTATTTTGCAAGAAACTATAACAAAAGTCAAAGCTCTTCTATATGCTCTTAACTGTAAATTTGAGAAAATAAATAAACTGCAATTCCCCAATTGTTCCATTCTCTCCTAATACAAACATCCAGAGGGACAGGATTTCTTCCCTAGTAGAGAGCAGCCACCTGAACTATCTTTAGTGACTGTCAGATTAGGAACGTAAGTAAACTGACAGGCACTTCGTAGGTGCCAAATCACGCAGAGGCTTTTGGCAGTCTCTTGCTCTCACATGCCCGAGACAGCTATTCCATAGAGCTGGAGCCATTGTAGAATCTCCTTGTCAAGTGCTAATAAAAGCTTTGTTATGGAAAACGAGGCCTTGGACTCTCCTCTGGTTTTGCAGGGGGAATTTAAACATCTCCATTCACCTTGCTGTTATTGTGTTGGGAGTTAAATTAAAACCATTGCTAAAATTAAAAAGAACCTGTGACAGGTAAATGTAGCTACAAGAGTAACATGAAATTGAGTGTAATAAAACCCAATAAGGGTGCATCAGTCCCCACCCCATGGACTTTACGCACCTGGCAGGCTGATACCGTCATGTAAATGAATTTATGAGTTGTCAGTAGAACCTGTCCAGTGATGTTTTCCAGTTTTGAATCCTGTCTTGTAATCACTTTTCCATCCATTTTATGATGACTACTCTGCTGACTTTCTGTCATTATAATTTAGTAATCCAGATGCCACGTGAAAATAAGACAAACACCCAACAGAGGCATAAGTCATATGCATCAACACTATTACCTCTAGCAAAAAAAATGTATGAACACATTTTAAAATATGAGTCAGTTTATTGTCTAAATGTTTTCCATAATCAGTATCAGCTGCTATTGCCTCCTTTACCCTACTTAATTTCTTTTTTTCATTATTCTTTCCCATATCAATGTCAGCTTGACAGACCTATGGGTTGTTCTTTATAGCATCTCAGTTCACTGCTAGTTTTCTTCTCATCCTTCAGTGTCCTTCAGTTTCTTTCATGTCCTCTAGGACTTCTGCATTATTCAAACATTTATTGAAGAAAATATTAACTCTCCAAATGGCTCACGGCCAGCTTAAAAAAAAAAAAAAAGTTGTATGAATGTATCAGACTTCCTGATTTTAAGATTTCCAATTACAGTAGCTCCTGCTCAGAATCTTCCTTAATGAATGTTGGGAAATTAATTAATTAATAAAGAACTATCACCGTTGCATGATACCACTACTTGATTGAAAACTGGAGATGAGGCCAGATCCTAGCCCTTGCAGAGATTTTATGAATAATCTCACCTTTAAAATCCACTGTTTTAATTCAAACCGTATGGGAAACAACAGGAGCAATTGAAGAAGAGCTGCTGGCTTGGTAGCACTTACTATGCTTTCACAATGTGATTTAATCTCCTCAGTTAACATTTAACAGTTAAAATGTTTATAAATAAACCTACGCAGGAGTTTATTATTAAAAACATGTCAATCATTTAAGATAACATAACTGCATTTTATTCTATCGTAGTCTCCTTGACACCTTTTGAGCATTTTATCCTTCAGAAACAAAACAATCAGATTTCTGTTTTCCCTCTTGCATTCAGGATATTACTGAAACCTAAAGCTACATATCTGTTTAACTATTTGCTTGTATTTGATGCTATACACAAGGGAGAAAAGTACATCAACTCAGCTAAGACAGCAAGTAACCATCCAATTCTCCTTGAAATTTCAGATTACTCACCAGTGGCTAGCAGGATTTGTATGAATTCTGAAGGCTATCCAAAGATGTAGCTACCAAAAAGTGTGTATCCACAAGTATAGGTTAAACTGTATCACACAGGATGAGAAAAAATCGTAGAGCAGCTTTAAGTGGCTGCAGTATGTAATTTCCCATCCATCTCTTGCGAAATGCACTAAAACTGCTGTCACATTTAAAAACTGCACAGGTGAATGATTTGTTCTATCAGCACTTATCCAAAGATAAATGGTCCACTAATAAAATTAGGAATTTTTTACTTTTAGTAAAATATGTTACCTTCCACTAATATGTCCTTATTCTGTGTACGATAAAGCCACCTATAATCCTGGGTTGCATCCAAAGAAGTGTGGCCAGCAGGTCAAGGGAGGTGATTCTGCCCCTCTACTCTGCTCTCGTGAGACCCCATGACGGGCTGAGAGAGTTAGAGTTGTTCAGCCTGGAGAAGAGAAGGCTCTGGGAAGACCTTCTAGCAGCCATTCAGTACTTAAAGGGGGCCTACAGGAAAGCTAGAGAGGGACTTTTTACAAGGGCATGTAGTGATAAGACAAGGGGCAATGGCTTTAAACTGAAAGAGGGGAGATTTAGATGAGAAATAAGGAAGAAACTTTTCACTCTGAGGGAGGTGAGGCACTGGAACAGGTTGCCCATAGAAGTAAGCTGTGAATGCGCCATCCCCGGAAGTGTTCAAGACCAGGTTGGATGAGGCTTTGAGCAACCTAATCTAGTGGAAGGTGTCCCGGCCCATGGAAGGGGCGTTGGAATTAGATGAACTTTGAGGTCCCTTCCAACCCTAACCATTCTGTGATTCTATGATTCTATGATTCTACAATTCTGTGACAAAAGGAGGGTTTCCTTAACACAAGCAATAGGATTTCTTTCTAAATCATATATGCCCAGTACTAATGAAATATCAAACTAAAACCAATTAACAACTAATGAACAAACTTAAATCTTATTTTTTTTTAATTTCTGCTATGGATTATACAAAGAAGTTCATTAAATAGTAACGATGGTAATCTGAACCATGCAGGATAACATGGACACACAAATTAAATACAGATGCTCATAGAATGCAATGAGGAAAAGAGGAAAACAGTCTGAGAAATTAAATGAATGAGCATCAAACAGCAAAATAAAGCCAAATACATCTGACAGGTTTATTTGTCTCTCCAAGTAAGAGGAATAAGGTGGTAGCTTTGTGAGATCTGAGCTGCAGTGCAAAAGTACATTAGTACAAATACCTGTTCAGGGTGTTCGTTGAAAGATCAACCATGAATTAGGCAAAGGACAATTACTTCTCTGGGAAGACAGCGATGGGATGAAGAACGAGCAGCAGCACTGCTTTCTGGTAAAGAACATCATGATCACATCTTCTGCAAGTTGTTGGGTAGCGTTTTGAACTTAGACAAGTGTAATGCGCACATATTTGTCCACATTTATATAAGAACCAAGTGATATACAACAGCATTGGCTGGTTTGAGTTGTGAGAAGCAGCACAGAGAGTCAGTAATTGCTAGTTCTTAAAGGTGACTTTGAATGAAGTGGCTGGAATAGCCACTGGAAAAAAAAGCTCTGCTGAGTATCAGTTATATTTTCACTGCGGTCTTTTACCACATGCTGTCCTTGAACTATCATCCTGAATAGCACTCATGCGATGAAACATCACCACAAGGACTGGATTTCCTTCTGAGAGCCTTGCTGATCAAAATGCTTAAATTCCACCTGCAAATCAATAAATCATACGTGTAGCTTTCGGTGAGTTAAGAGGTTATGCCACTTTCAGAGTGACAGATGAGCAGAAGGACTTAACCAAACAGTCAGTGGGATGGGATGGAGGCTTGGAGGAATAGGCTAGGACTATTCATGGCACTATGATATTTACCTAAAGCCACTACCACCCCTGCTTAATTGGCCATTCTGGAAAGAATTAATGATAGGCAAACGCGTAGGCTACATCAGAGAAAAAGAATTTGAGCTGAGATGTCCCTGCCTAAAAGTAGCAGTAGTTCACTTTGCTAAAGGCTGTTTGATTCCCATATAACAACAGTCACACTAATTGAGAAGTTTTTCCTTACTTTTTCTTACTCAACCTACAATTTGCACATTTGTGAAAAGCTGATAACTAGCATAAGATTTCCCCTAGATTTCCACCAGTTGTAGCATGTGGTGTAATTTTAATAGATTTATTTCAACTTGCGTTGAAATAGGAAATGGAAATGCAGCAGCATTCCTCACAGTAATCGATGAGTTCTAATCAAAATACGATGAATACCAAACAAAGCGTGAGGCAAACAAAGTCTCACACTTGCTATATAGGGAATATAAAAGCAAATAACAGTAAAGTTAGAAATTGCCTTAACAAAAATTTTGCCTAAATAACAATTTTGAAAAAAAAACACAACCAAACACCAAAAAAAAAAAAAATCCCAAAGTATGTTTTCACTTTTTGGGGAAAAAAAAAAAAAAGAGAAAACAAATAGTATTCTCAAAAGTGTTCTCACTTCTACAAACAGTGTTGTCAAAAGCTAGAAAGAAAACAAAGTACAGCTAGTCTTTCAGTATAACATCTCTGTGTGATATGACTGGCCTCACTCCGGTCTTTGGGAGGTTACTCCTGCTATCATTGATGAATAAAAGCATGACTTTAAATACTCTATTTCACAGGAGATGCACTAAGGTGTCCATCTCCTCTTGCACTGCAGCTCTACACATTTTATCACTGCCTTTGATTAATATTTTCAATTGATGGCAACAGATAATTATTTTCATAATTCACTAATCAAAATCCACAAGTTTAGATAAGCAGACATGCATGCCAGAAGGGAGCATATATTACACGTGGTTTGAAATTTATATAGCTTCCTCATGTTAAGCAAATGTGTCAGAAGACATTATATCTCTATGCTTTATCATGACATTTAGGATCTCAGAGCTCACTGAAGTTACAAGGAGTCTTCATCACATGCAGTGCTACAGGAAGATGACTGGAGAAAAGAATATGAACAGTATTCTACACAAGTGAGAAAAAGAACCTTTGCTGTTGTTTTAATTCACCTACTGCCCTGATCTCTAGTCTTAAG